ATGTGCAAGTCCTGACCCCTGGAATAGGATTGAGACTATTTGGAAATAAAGACTTTGCAGATGTGATTAACTTAAGGATCTTGAGATGGGGAGATCATCCTGAATTATCTGGGCAGGACCTAAATGGAGTGACAGGTATCTTTCTAAGAGGGAGGCAAAAGGAAATTTGACACACACACATAGAGCAGGAGGTCATGTGAAGATGGAGGCGAAAACTGAAGTGATACAGCCACAAGTCAAGGGACGCCTGGAGTCACCAGAAGCTGAGAGGGGCAGGAAGGACCTCCTGTGGAGCTTTCAGAGGGTGCATGGCCCTGCTGACATCTTCATTTTGGACTTGTGGCCTCCAGAACCATGAAAGAGTCAATCTCTATTCAAAGCCACCAGTTTGTGGCCCTCTGTTATAGCCACCCCAAGAAACTCAGACCAGCCTGGGCCTGGCTTGGCCCGCGGCACACCTCCCTGTAGGCCTCCCAGAAGCTGGGCCTCAATAGATTCCATTGCAGAGGTTCTGGAAAGCTAAGGTTGCGTTTCCCAACAGCTTGGGCTGGCTATGGGGAGGTGTTCCTTTGAGCACAAATCACTCTTGCCAGATCAGTTCCAGCCTCCGGGTACTCCTGCCCTGTTCTGGCAGCCCATGTGCAGTGGGCACTGGGGCCCTTCAGTGGCTCTGTGCCACCCCTGGAGATGGTGCCCTGCCTCATGTGTCCAGAGTGGAGCTGGAGACTGGAGCTCGGAGCCCACTGGGGGTGGACCTAGAGACCACAGGGGGACTAGGGGAGGATGAACACTGCCCCCCAAGTTCTCAGAGTAGACCCTCCACTGGCCCGTCAGGTTCTTTAAGGAGGGGTTGTCCCTCTGAGGTCCCCTGCCCCCATCCCTGGCCATGGCCTGCAGACACCTGGCTGGCTGCCCCTCCGACAAGCCCTGACTCGTCTAAACCTAAGCAGTGGATTCAGCTTAGTCTCCAGCTGGGTCCTGCCACATCCAGAAGGCACCTGACCAGTTATAAGTACTCGGAAATGTCCCCCACCCCAGCCCTGTCATTCAGAGTCTGCTCCTTGGCGGCCTCTCCTTTCACGGGGTTGCCCTCCCCAAGGGAGCTGTTCCCATGACTTTTATCGCCCTGTGTGTGCATGTGCATGTGCATGCACATGTGTGCTGGCCCCAGCGAGCCTTCTGGCTCAGACCCCACCTTTGAGCTGCACCTGCACACCCACAACTCCTGGGGTGTTCCCAGCCCTCAGGTGGCATTCCTCCAGGGGCCTCAGACCATAGAGGCACCACACTCTTACTCTGCCACTCCCTTCCTCTCACCCCAGGAACAATCTGTCACCAAGTCCAGGGTCTCCTGCTCAATCCAAGATAGAACTGGAACCTGGCCCCTCCCCCACCTTTCCCTCACTTTCTAACTGGGCCTCCCTAAGCCCACCCATCCACCTACAGCTCAGCCTGCCTAGCTCAGCCCTCCGAAGCTTTGCCACCCTGAGGATTCCTGTGACCAAAGCTGGGCCCTGAGCTCCGCTGGGAGGATGCCCTGCATGTCATGAAGTGTACGTGAAACTGAATATGGGAACTGTTGGCTGGCAGGGGTAACCTTGATGTTGCCATGGGTTTTTGTTAAGCCCAAGCAGTTTCAACTTTCGTATTCACATTCCCCTTCTTCTTCCTATTATTATTCATCATCTAATAGTTTGCAACACACTTGATATCAAAGTGAGGCTAAGATATTAATCTTTGACCAACTGCTCTGGGTATGGAGCCCTCTCCTCCAACTAGGCCCCACAAGCCCTTTCAGGGTGTGCCTTGTTCACCTCCCTAGGCTCCTGCCATGGGGCCCAAGCATTCCCCTGGGTGCCTCACAGCCTCTGGTCTGGGCAAAGTGTGGGTCTCACTCACAGGGCACTGTTCCCTACTGTGAGGGGTGACTCACCAGGCCTATAGGACCTTCTCCCTGGGGTCCAGCCACAGGGTCTCTTCTGCACATAACAGTGTTATTACTCTTGTCTCACTAGCTTGTGACACCTCAGTCCCTAGTGAGAGGAAGGCAGAGAGGAAAGGAATGGCAGGAAGGCTAGGAGGGAAGGAGAGAGGGAGGGAGAGAAGACAGAGACCCACAGGGGGGAGGGGCTGTGCTGGACCCGCACTACAGGTCAGGTGCCCAAGACCCGCCCACAGAGAAAGGGCCTGAGGGCTCCAGGTTTCCAGCTCCACCAGGCCCTGGTGCTGACTGCCCCTCCTCCCAGCCAGTGAGGGGACTTGACCGAGGCCCTGACTCCTGGCCCCTGGCCAGTGCCCTTGCCCTGAGCCTGCCCAGCTCAGCAGAGATTGCTGGGCTGTGGAGCACATGGCCCAGAATAGTGCTATGATGCCAACGGTGACATTCTATCGCTGGGCCACCACTGTGAGCAGTGCCTCCCATCCCCAAAAGGAGAAACCTGGGAACACCAGGGGTCTTGGTGCCAGGCCAAGTGGAAGGGCAGGTGGCTGTGTGCTTGGAGGCAGTGTGCTGTGCCTCCGGGCTCCTCTCCTGGGCTGCCACTCCCAGTGGGCCCTGCCTGCTCTGTTTTTGTGAGTGGCCTGTGGCTACTCTGAGAAGTCCCGGTTCCCACCACTGGAGACAAAGACCCCTCATGTGGGATGAAGAAAGAGCAACCAGGTTCTAGCCCACTGCCACCTCAGCCTTCTGGGCACACCATCGGAGGGGGCATTGCTCTGAGGACTCTCCCCTTATGCTGCCTTTTCCGGGGCAGACCTGTGTACCCAGTGAGCAGGATTTCCAGGCTGTGCTCTGGTTCTTCTTGGGAGCTGTTGCCAGCATAGTGTAACCTGGGCTTGACTTTGCTGGCACAGTGTACCCTGCAGGGTGGAGGTTGTGCTGGGAACCTTGGGCCAGGCCAGCACAGGTGGGCACACAGCACTTAGCACACTGCCCTGCCCGGGAGTGCAGCCCCTGGTGTTGACACAGGAATCCATCAAGAAGGGCAGTCAGGGGGTCCCCTAGGATTTCCTGGCTCCCTGGAAGGGGGATCAAGCCTGGTGCTTTGCAGCCTGCAAGTGCTTGGCAAACGCTCCACCCTGAGAGGGCAGATGCTACCTCAGTGGATCTACTTCAGGAGCCAAGTCTAAGGACAGCTAGGGCAACGAAAATGCCTAGAAGGAAGGGGAAGGGGCCAGGCCGAAGCCTTCCACCTGGTCACCAAGGCCTCCTTGTACAGCCCCATACCTGGGGATGCCCAAGACCTTTGCCTAAGGGCCAGGAAAAGCAGCAAAGAGGAAGCCCCAAGCTTGGAGGGGACACAGAGACGCAGAGCCTGGGAACTGCCCAGAGGCGTTCCCTCATGGCTCCCCTTTCTGCTCCGTCCCCAGTGCCACCCCAAGAACAGTGACACACAGAGCCATATTGCACAGTGTTTCTTTAATTGAAGGACAGCAACCAATCTCAGAAGCAGCTCCTCCTCAAACTGGGTGTGATTGCTCGAAACCCCACACCAAGGGTGGGAAGCAAGGTGGGGCGAAGGAGACCTAGCCGTGCTGGGGGAAGGGGGACAATGAAAAGTGTGCTTGGGATGCCAGTGGGATGTTGGGCCTTCCCGGGGGCCTGACTTCTAGGGTCTGACTAAACCCAGTGCATCCCCTCTTGACTAGGACATGTGTGGGGTACAGCACCTCCACCTGCCTCCTCTAGGACCATCTAGGCTTGGGGGAAAGATCTGGGCAGGGCAGGCGGGTGTAGGGGGCAGCTGTACCCCACCAGCAGGCTTGCCTAGGTAGGGGCTGGGCAGAGGCCTATTGTGACAGAGACCAGATCCAGCCCAAGGACGTAAGAGAGGAGAGGGGGAACAAGAGAGACAGAGAGGGAGAGGGCTGGTCTAGGAGCCAGTAGAGCAAGGAGGCTAGCATGGATGGGCCATAGACTTACATAAAGGTGGGGGACCATTTGAGGCCAAGGGTAGCAGACTAGGCCAATGAGGGTTGGAAGCTGCAAATTCATGTGAAGGAGGAATGCGTACCTGGCAGGTGCAGTGGGCTCAAAGGGGTTTACTGTCTCCATCCCTGCTGGTCCCCGTCCTGTCCCCCAGACCCAGGGACTGGTTTTCCTGGACTGGAGCTTCAGACAATTTTGTTTCAGGGTGAAATGGAAGAAAATTTGGTGGGGGCGCCTCTGAATGGCTATGATGGGTGGGGGGAGAGGAAGTTCTGAAGCCAAGGGCACATGCAATAGGGTTTGGGCCTTCTGTCCCACCTGCATGCTTGGGAGCCAGGGGGAAG